ACACGTTGTACAAATTTTGTCCAAAATTTAAATGAAACATCATTTTAAACCTACACATAAATACATATCGATATTCATTTGTACACCCTTGCATGTGTACATAAAGACAAACAGCAGCCAATCAGGAAGAGGGCCAAAGAGGACGCTGGCCTACCCGTTGTGGGCTGTTTTTAATAGAAGTCAGAAATAGGACCGTTATAGGTGTGAAATCGACCAAAAATTGAACATGATAAGCAAAGAAAAAGTCGTAATGCACACTAACACAAATCTTAGGCCCCCCCCGTGGTATGAAAAATTTGCCCCCTCCCCAGTTAAAGTTGTCTAGATCCGCCACTGAAGACACACACACACACACACACACACACACAAACACCGTTGTATACATTTTTTCCAGAATCAAACAAAAACATCAATTAACATCTACACTTAAACACATACCAACAATCATCTGTATAACCTTACATATAAAGACACGTACACGTACCCAACCAAACACAATAATACACATAAATACACGCACACACGTAAATAACACATAGCCACATTACACAGACCTCGTCACAAAAAACTTAGCCTAGTAACAAGAAAGAAAAAAGCATTCGTGTAAACTTTTTAAAATACAAATTTCTGTCCATTCTTTTCTTTGTATATTTTCCAAATCAAACAATCAATCAACCAATCAACCAATCAACCAACTAACCAGCTAACTCAACCAACCAACTAACCAACCAACCAACTAACCAAATCAATAGCTAACTAATCAACCAACCAACCATTTAATCAACCAACCAGCCAACTCAACCAACCAACTAACCATATCAATAGCCAACTAATCAACCAACCAACCAACCAGCCAACCAGTCAACCAACTATCCAGGCGTAAAAAATAACAAACCCGACAATAAAAGATTTGGGACTATGCACCCTTCGTTGAATATGTAAACATTTGTGAGCAAACATTTATACACTTAATCGTTCTTCTCGTATATTCATGGCTCGTCTGAAAGAAAAATTTGTCTAAAAAATTATGTTTGTTTGTCTGTGTACGTGTGTGTGTGTGTCTGTGTGAGTGAGTGTGTGTGTAGATGCGTGCATATGTGTATGTATTCCCGTGTACGGCGGTATGTGTATGCGTGTGTATAAGCGTATATGTCTGTGTGTATATATGTCTGTGTGTATGTGTGTATTTCTGCATATATATGCGTATATATCTGTGTGTGTATCTGTATATATCGATTTATTAAATATAAGTATTTAATAATTCTATATGTGTATGTATATGTATGTATATACCCTATGTGTATTTATTATCGGAAACAGGTTATAACGAAACTAAAATATATAAAGCTTTAAAAACATCATCACAAAACATACAAAGTGTAATTAACAAAGAAATTCAATTGAGAACAAATAACTAAAAAATTTTTGAAAAAAAAAATTTCTAAATTGTTTCTAAAATAATGTACGTTGATGAATTACATTGCAGCCGTCCAACATGAGCGAGGGCCTAGACACTCGACTATAAGGCGTCAGATGATGCAAGCTGGAATGTTGTGCGCTACATCATCACCTGTCAATCATCACAGCAACAACAACAACAACAACATCAACAACAACATCATCAATAATAACATCAGTAACATTAACAACATCATCAACAACAACAGCAGCAATCACATACTCGGGGGCAGCAGCAACAACAGTCTGTTCGACCATAATAATCCTATAATTAAATCGCTGTCCTCTTCATCGTCGTCATCGTCGTCCTCTTCATCGTCGTCGTCGTTTTTCTCGCCGTCTGTGTTGAGTGCAAATTATTTGAAAGGCGATTTTTTGTCGATGTTTTCAAATGGTGGCCACATCGGTAGCTTGGATGGATTCAGTGGCTTTGGTAGTCGCTTCAGCAGCAGCAGCGGCAGCAACAACAATTCCAACAACAACACTAACATCAACAACAATTTTAATAACTTCCATCACATTCCACACTTGTTATCTCCATTTCCATTTCCGCTTCCTACTTCCTCCTCACTGAGCAATGTGAAGATGAACGTTAAGAATGGTATGTCACCATTAAACCTGACAATCCAGCAGCAGCAACAACATCATCTACAACAGCAGCAGCAGCAGCAACAACAACAACAGCGATCAACATCATCCCCCTTCATATCAGCTACGAACAGTTTATTGAATTCCGGAATGCAATTGAGAACGAATCCCTTTTTGGCTCCGCTAGGACTCCAGCCAACCGCCCTAGACTTTCTACCATTCAGCAATCCACTTGAAGCTCTGCTCTACACCACACCCCCTCTCCTCTACCAACCATTGCCGAAGGTTTGTTTGATCATTTATCTGAAAAATAATGTAGTTTTTCTCAAATCGAATGAAACATAATAACAAAAACATTACAAAATAGTTGGATAAATTATTTTCTATGTAAAAAAAAACACTTTAAATGAAAACAACGACGACGATCTTCGTGAATAGTACGTGGCCCAGCACTACATCCAACACATGGCCCTCCAATACGCTGCTTCCCTGGCGCAAAGCAAGGAAACTGTCTGGGAGATGGCCGTCCGTCTGCTCTTCCTCACTCTCAACTGGGTGAAGAACATTCCCGCCTTCCTCAAACTGCCCTTACGTCAGCAGATTTTCTTGCTGGAGGAACGCTGGAGTGAGCTCTTCGTACTCAACGCTGCTCAGTTCGATTTGAATCTGCACCGGGGACTGCTTTTGAAGGCCACCGAAGATGGTCTGGTGTTTTTTGTTTGTTTGTTTGTTTAATTGTTTATACGTTTATTTGTTTGAGTAATTTATTTAAAACATTAAAAGTAATGTTTGTTTGTGTATTTCTTAAAGATAAGAAATTCTCTCCAGTCACAAAACGACCGAAGTTTACATTTAAACTGAAAAAAGGCGCGCACATCAAACGAGAAGCGGGTAGCAGTTCACCAGAAACAACAACATCTCTTGCAACAAAACGCAAACATGAAAGCAGCACCACCACCAACAAAAACAACGACAATAGTGGCGTTGATGATGACGACGACGATGATGACACGGACACAACAAACTACAACAATGATGATGACGACGATGATGAGAATGATGGCGATGACGACAATGAGCATGAGCAAGATAGAATTGCCGGGAGCAAGGAAAGCTTAATACGGAATTATAAGTTGGAGAAGGAGTTCAGGTTCATGCAAGAGGTTGTCGAGAAGTTGAAGCAGATGCAAATCGATCCAGCCGAGTACTCCTGTCTACGTGGAGTTGTTCTCTTCAGACCATGTTTGTTTGTTTGTTTGTTTGTTCGTTCGTTTGTTTGTTTGTCCATTTGTTTGTTTGGCTTTCATATTTTAGTTTTTAATTTATTTAAATGTGAAGTTTTTCATCCATTCATTCGTTTTTTTAAACTACATTCTTTGAAATTATTTTGAATGGGTTTTTTTTGATAGGTCATAACATCATGCTCATCTTCTATGAATTCGATCTCTCATTTTTTATTCTATTTCAATCATTTTAAAATTTAAATTTCAAACTCCCGTCGTATCGATCGAGTTCTCTTTTATCCTCTCTGCTTCATAGCGAGCTGTATATGAAATAAACATTTTTTTTAAATAATATTTTATGGTTCGGCTGGATTATGATGTTTTTTATTTTCTTATGTACATATATTAAAAATAAAATGAAAGATGTTTAATACGCGCAATGTGATTGATGCTTACTGTTCAGCCAGCTTGTCATTTTAGAAACACATAGATCGCAAAATTATGGTGACGACGATGATGATGATGATTGCTTTGATGATGATGGTGATGACGATGATGTCAATGATGGTGATGACGATGATGATGGTGAAGAAGTTGAGGATGATGATTATAACTTATCACATCGTAAAGTTCAATAGCTTAACATAAACTGATAATGCCATAAAATTTAAAAATAATTTCAAACATTTAAATAATCAGTTTGAAAAATAAAATAGAAAATGAAATAAACTTACTCAACCATTACCCCCAACAAAAATTCAGTATACAACAAAGACAAAATCTCCTCTACAACATACAAGCAGCAGAACGACACTAAGCCAACTGCAGCCACAACTGCCACAAACAGCTCTCAAAACAACCGCGACAACGACAACGACGACGCCATATACACTCTCACCTTCTTACAAGACCAGGCACAACTCTCGTTAAACAAATACGTCGAAACAACGAGACCGAACGATCCTCTCAGATTCGGTAAACTTCTACTCCTCCTGCCATCTCTCTCACAGATTAGTCCGTTCACTATTGAAAAAATTTTCTTACACTCGACTGTCGGGCCGGTTAAAGTCGATCGGTTAATATCGGATCTCATAACCGGTGAAGCCGGTTCTATCGGTATTCGTAGCGGTTCTACTGCTGTTTGATTATTATTATTATCATAATTATTATTATTACTATTGTTATTATTATTACTATTGTTGCTATTATTACTTTTATTATTAATATTATCATTATTGAAAAATTATATGGCGTTATTTCATATATTATTGCTATTAATTACGATATCTATTATCTATATAACTGATATCTAGAGGTGCGATTTATATGACTCATGTATTTAAACAATGTATGTGTTTATTTGGATATAATGTAATATTTTAAGGTGTGTATCGAATGTTATATGTACAGAACACATATTTATCGTTTGTTTTATCATCAAAATTATCATTTCATCATCTTAACATCATTATTCTTATTGCAATCATTACAATTGTAGTAGTAGTAGTAGTAGCAGTAGTAGTAGTAGTAGCAGTAGTAGTATAGTAGTAGTAATAGTAGTATTATAGTAGTAGTAGTAGTACTAGTATTTCATCATCATAATCAGGGTTTTTACAACTAATATCAATATCTACAACATTATCATTTTCATCGTCGTCGTCGTCATCATCAAATGACTTTTTTTTAAAACAGCTGAATTCATTTTATTGAAGCAAAAACAAGTTCATTCATGTAAGCCTTGTTATTTAAGTATAAAAATTAATACATTGTCTTATTATATAATTGATATTAATCAATTGACTAATAGACTTAAGAACACACACACACACATACACACACACATACATATATTTATATATATATATAATTATTTATACAATTATTTTGTTCAATATATCTTGTGCCTCGTGAGATATTCTTTCTTTGATTGATTGACAAATTATTTTTTATTCATCCATTTGATGTAATGAATGATTGAATGAATGAATGAGTGAATGGATGGATGAATGAATAATTAATGAATGAATGAACGAACGAACGAACGAACGAACGAACGAATGAATGAATGTTTAACTTAAAATATTTAACATTTTATATATTATATTCCTTTTCGTCAAATTAATTTTTTTCTATTTTAGAGTTTTTTCTCCATATACCGCGTCATTATGTTGAAAAGTTACAGCGGCTTTATTTTCTGCTGGTTTTTAGTACATATCAGCTATTATTCACACAGACACAAACTCACATACACACACGCACACACACACACACACACACATGGTTCGTCCTGTGCCTTGTTGATTGAAAAATTATTTTTGTATGACTTTTTTTGATAAATTTTCGTTAAAAATATGAAAAGATGTAGGTTCATCATTAGCTGGTTGTTTATAGTAAAGAATTTTGAAGATATTTTTTAAATGGAATATTACATAAAATGAAAGGGCATTTTACAAATGAATTGAGACTTGTTATGACTTCATAATGTCAGAATTTTAAAATTTATAGTGAATATAAATTAAATTCGGCCTAGAGTGTTGATTTCATTCTTATTTTTCCCTCACAATTTCAACTCCACAGACAACAAATAAACACACCGACACACGCACACACGAACACTCACAAACACACGCATAGACACACACACACACACACATAAAGGCTTACTTGCCAACGGGAACATGACGATCCTTTTTGATGCTAATTAAACGCTGCGTTGCAAACCATAACACACACACCACACACACACACACACACACACACACACACACATGAAACTAAAATAAAAACACACACATACACGTTTACAAATATGCGAATTTACACAAACACACGCACAGAAAAACTCTCCCCTCACACACACACAAACAGTAACATACACACACACACATACACAGGCACACATACACGCACACACACATGCACGCGTATAGACGAACTACAAAAGCACAAGCTACGTCGTTTGCCCACACCTATATTTATATTTATACATAGGACCTTCAGTGACCTTTAACCTTTCCACTTGTCCTATCACGTGACCCTGTCCATCATTTGGACGGAAACGGAAGACGTCATACATTTCGAAATTAAAAATAACAAGTGCTTCAACAACACCTATAATCATTATGACAATAGTAATAATAATAATAATAATAACTACAGCTGCTACAACAACTACTACTATCACTACTACTACTACTACTTCTACTACTACTACCACTACTACTACTACTACTACTACTTCTACTACTACTACTACTTCTACTTCTACTACTACTAATACTACTAATACTATTACTGCTACTACTACTGCTGCTGCTGCTGCTGCTACTACTACTAAAAATAATAATTATAATAATAATATAATAGTTGACAATTAAAATATATAACAAATAATACTCATTAGAGTTTTAGTGTTGTAGTGTTACATTAATAACAATTATTATAAATAAATATATATATATGTTGGAAGGAGACCATATTTTATATAGTACTGTATGAATTCTACCAAATTGTTGAAATTAAAATTTAAAATTTGTCTTTTCAGATTTTCTTACTAGAATTTTCTATTAATTAATGCCAGCAATCGATAGAATTCATACAATTGAAATATATATATATATATATATCATATTTTTTTATCTCTCTCTATATATATACGTATATATATATAAATATATAAATATAGTGAGAGAGAGACAGAAAGAGAGAAAGAGAGAGACACAGAGAGAAAGAGAAAGAAATAAAGAATAATAATGACGTCAGAAGCAACGTCATCAACTTTCCAGCGACGCATTTTTCATCGACAGATCAATCACCCAAAAAATCTGTTGTGAGGGGGTCTAGCTAGTTGTCATGTTGGCCGGTTGATGAGCGGACAAACTAATTACAAGCTTCTCTACCTTCCTACCTTCTACCGCACGTCGTTTGTGCCACCTACCGCTCGAAATACTGAATTTATTTATTCATTTTTTTTATCCTTGCTAAATACAAAATGTGATACTACTACCACTACTACCTACTACTACCTACTACTACCTACCTACTACTACTACTACTACTACTACTATTACTACTACTACTAATAATACTACTATTACTACTTCCACTACTGCTGCTACTGTTAAAACTATTACTACTTTTAGTAATAATGCTGCTTCAGAAGCGACTAGAGTTACTACCGGTACTACTGAAACTAAAAATACTACCATTAATAATACTAGCAGCAATGGTA